CCCCCCCCCCCCCCCCCCCTCCCCAGGGCACCGCAGAGCAAGAGCGCGTACGAGAGCATCGGCGGCGGCTCGCCGATCGTGTCGTGGACCAACGCGCAGGCCAAGGGCATCGCCTCCCAGCTCGAGGCGAAAGGGCTGAGCGGCACCAAGTGCTACGTGGGGATGCGGTACTGGCACCCCTTCACGGAGGCAGCCCTGGAGGCCATCGAGGACGACGAGATTAATGCCTTGGTGAGTGAGTGAGTGAGTCGAAGGAACGTCAACGTTTGGCTTCACTGTCCCAGCCCCACCTTTCATTGCACACGCCCTTGATGTCAACCACGAGGTGTCTATAGCTGACACCATTGATGCGGTAATGCATGTCACCCTCCAATGCCGCGGGTGACGATGATCGATGATATGTATAGGGCGGGCGTCGTTGTGATTCAAAGAGCTCACCCCTTGCGGCAATGTTTTGAGTATGCCGCATCAGGTTATGTTTTCCAAGCACCTGAAGGAGGCACCCACCCATATCTGCAAACCCCCTCGATTTGTTTCGGCGGGCGCTACCACAACTGACTACACTCACACGTTGTGCTCGGAACCCGAAATCGCGACCGCGCAGGTGATCCTCCCGCTGTACCCGCAGTTCTCCATCTCCACGAGCGGATCGAGCCTCCGCATCCTCAACGAGGAGTTCACCCGGCGGCCGGAGCAGTGGGGCCACAAGAACGTGGTCCACACCGTGGTGCCCTCGTACCACGACCGCCCGGGCTACGTGAAGGCGATGGCGAGCCTCATCGCGCGAGAGGTGGCGGAGTACACGCCCGAGCAGCGGATGCAGGGCGTGCAGGTGACAAGCGATATCGTAGATAGTGCTTTTTTTTTTCGTTTGGCGGCGGCTGGGTTAAGAGAATATGCACCCCAAGAGGAGATGCACCCCAAGAGGAGAGCTAGGTATGGCTGGTTGTCACCAATGACCGACACCGCCAGCGGACAAGGAGAACTACAGCCAGGGTTGGGTTATGGGTGGGTTCCTTGCTCTTGCGGGAGTATTCTTGGTCAGCTGATGCTCTAGACCCCTGATAATGATGATCAAATACACCCAGCCCTCTTCGTGCGTGAAAATTCGATCAGTTCAAAGTTGGTTGTTACAGCCCCCGGTTTTCCGGAACGACATCCCATCGACACTGTTATCCCCTACTTTCTTGCGTAATATTTGATGTGGATCGCACGTGTCGTTTCTTACGCTCGGCTGACTCTTGTTCCGATACATGTTCCGGTGTGCCTCTCTCCCCCGTCCCCCTCGTCCCCTCGGCAGGTGCTCTTCTCTGCACACGGCGTACCCAAGTCGTACATCGACGCGGGCGACCCGTACAAGGCGCAAATCGAGTCCTGCGTCAAGCTCATCTCGGAGAAGGTGGATGGGATCAACGCGGAGGGCGGCCCCGGCGCCAAGCCCGGCAGCTCCGGCGCGGCCGCGGGCGGGGTGACGTACCACCTTAGCTACCAGTCAAGGGTGGGGCCCGTGGAGTGGCTGCAGCCGTACACGGACGCCAAGATCCACGAGCTGGCGGACAACGGGTGCAAGAACCTGGTGGTTGTGCCTGTGTCGTTCGTGTCGGAGCACATCGAGACCCTGGAGGAGATCGACATGGAGTACAGGGAGGTGGCTGAGGAGGCCGGCATCACCAACTGGCGACGGTGAGAGAGACAAGGG